ACTTACTACAAGGTTGACATTTCGCCATTTTTACTGACCACAAGTCAATTAGCTGCGCTTTCACTACGGCGCTAAATAAACACTCTCCAAGAGAAGCTAGACAAATGGACTATATTCCCAATTTTCAACTGACATTTAGCACATCAAACGTGGTGCAAATGTAGCAGCTGGTTATCTTTCACGATGTGATATCAACTAGATTCAAACTCCAGTTGACATCAGCCTCGACGGTATGGCGATGTTCCGACGAAATGATACCGAACTCCTAACTTGTCTCGGAAAATCTCCTTTACAATTGAGGGACGTTCCTATTCCTTTATCACACACAACTATATTCTATGATGTATCTACTGGCACTAATAAACCGGTTGTTCCACTCATTTGATGGAAGCCTAATTTACATGCACTGTCTCGCCGTGGAGTGAGACAGACTGTTAAACTCATCAATTAGCGTTTCGTTTGATCCAGAATGAATTCCGATGTCTGGAGATGAGCACGCGAATGTTTACAGTGGCAAAGCCCGAAATTCCGTACACACATGTTTACCATTCCCCTGAAATTGGATCTACTTGGAGGAGAATTCCAGTATGTGTATATTGATATCGTTTGTCCGTTGCCACCGTCCAAATGCTAAATGTATATTTTTACGGCTATTGATAGATCTACTCGGTGGGCTACCGCCTGTCCACTCAACGACATATCAGCCGAAAATATCGCCTCAGTTTTCTAGATCACTGGGTATCGAATTACGGTGTACCAAATACGGTGACATCCGACAGAGGCGCTCAGTTCCAATCGACACTATTTGGAGAGTTGGCCTGACTTCTTGGAGTGCAACACATCTCCACCCAGCAGTGAATCGTCTTGTGGAAGGATTTCACAGGCAACTATTCCCGAGAGAGACTGCAGGATGCTCTGGGTAGGAAACCGCCGCCTGGACACGCTGGATTCAAGAAAAGCAAGTTGTCCACTGACCGAATTGCAAAAATAAGCATTATCGCCACACAGAACTTTGAAGAGTAGTTAACTCCCTGACTCGACTTTGAAAAGGCCTTCGACAGCGTCAACTATAAAGTAATTTGAAGACCACTTCAACACGATAGAATACAGTGTCACAAACATTTACAAACTTCATTAAGCAACTTTGGTTGGTCACTAGGTAGTAGCCAATGTCATGAGTCTAGCCCTCGTGCTGGTGCGGACCGAATTCCAACAGAAGAGTTCTTCCGAGTGCCCCTAGTCATCCAACATTAATTCGGTGTGCACCGCAAGGGCGAGTCACCTAGCATGGTGACAATAATGAAAGCTTGAATGACGGAATTCAGTCTGCACGAACCCGACCCTAGACGGATGACATCGGTTACTACCTAACGACCAATCAAACGACCTACTACAGTCCTACAGGAGGTCAATCGCGAAAACTGTAGCTCTATTGCATCCCACTATGTGCACGTGTATGTGCTTAGTCCTTTCATTGACCTAATCACCCTGTCTAACTATGTTCTGATAGCTTATGTTCATTTATTCAAAGGTAATACTCCGGGAAATTTATTCTGCAGCCAGATCTACAGGATTTCTTTACAACTACTAACCATTACTGTCTCAGAATGTCTGTCCACACTACTCACTTTTCAGCATACATGGTAGTTCTAATCATTTGAAGTTTACTGAAAAGGTTTTATACTTGCTATTGATATGTATGACAATTCAACATGAATCAATAACACAAAGAATGCTAATTGATCACTATTATTATTGATATTAGCATAATGTTTTTAGATGTACATAACTAGGTTAAAAGTTCACTCAATAGACTGCTCTTAGCAGCACAAGACAAAACTGAAATTGTAACGGGGATCACCCAAATTAAAAATTATTGGATATTCTGCTTAGAAAATAGATAAATAAATCCAAATCATGATATTATACCACCATTTTATCACAATTAATCCAATGTAGAATACAAGCCAAACGCTGTAAAAACATAATCTGCAGTATCAAAACAAACTTCACATACACAAACGAAAAGGAAAATATTGTTTAATTTGTGTTAGTTCCTAGGGAGAAAAAATCCCCTCTATCTCACGCATTACTCGAAGAACAGTCTCTTCATGAAATGGTTTGCCAACTACTTGGATAGAAAGTGGCATATTCTCCCCTCCATCTAAAAGTTTGTGCACTTTAGACATGTAGGTATCACCAGCAGTGAGAAGGGATTCAGATTTCACTAGTGCATCTCGAACATCCTGCCTACTGACAAAACCCGCCGGAACTGCTCCAGCAGGATAATCCAAAATATTATACAAAAATGTATACACAATTGATGGTGAAATGTACAAAGGTGAAGCATCGTCGGGAGGGGCAGGGTATGAAGACACTGGGCATATCAGTGCATCCAGTGGGCCTGCTTCACTCCAAGCTTTACCGAATTCATGTCGATAACTATTGATTCCATTGATTAGGTTAAGCGCTGCCTGACCATCTTTCAGTTTTCGAAGGGCACTTGATATACCAACTGGTCTTCCAACAAACAATCGGGATAGGAACCCCATGATAGGTTTTAGAAAGTCTGGAAATCCGAGGATAAGATTTAGAAATTCAAGCTGTGGACTCAGTGGTTCGCCTTTTAATTGCTTTCGTAGTTCACAACCGCCATCTGAAAACAAAGCACGCAGACCAAGAACGTAAGCCTCATAAGGATGAGGGACGGTGAACTTTACAACTTTATGTCCAGAACTCTCTAACGCTTTAACTGCCTTCTCCACAACTTGTCTATTCACATCCACTACCTGAATGAGATTCGGATCATCAAGGTTGCAATAATAACCAATTACTAACTGGCGCTTCCTCTTCCCTTCATATAAATCCTCATTGAAACGCATCGGTATAACATAAGGGTCCAGATCAAACATCGTAGGACACAACAATGCGCGCATTACACGAGCCAAGTCTTCCACCTTCCTACCCATGGGTCCTGGACAAGCGCTTATGTAAAGCACCGAATGTTTCGTGATTGTTGGTATGCCCAATACACTCAGTCTTCCAAACGTTGGTTTTAAACCAGCTAAACCGCAAAATGCGCACGGGATACGGATGCTACCAGCAATATCACTACCAATACCAACTGGAGAACCATTCAACGCCAATAGTACAGCTTCCCCCGTTGAACTCCCACCAGGCATTCTCGACGAATTCATTGGATGTTTTGCCTCACGATAAACACAGTTAAAGCTATCCAATGTGCGACATAACTGACTGGTCACAGTAGTTACGAAGGGGATTGAACCAGCACTCTTGAGTACTTTCACGAGAACACAATCATCGCTCATAGGTTTGCTACAGCGTTTAATAACACCCAAAGTACTATCATAACCGCCCAATGTAAAACTCTCTTTTATGCTAATTGGAATCCCATACAGCTGTGATTCTTTATCGATGTCCGATGACGATATCATGTTAACAGCATTCTCTTCTGCCTCCAAAATGAATTCACAAATACCTGAATTTCCGTTATCGTACAACTCCAACGCTTTGAGCTGAAAGGCATGTAGTACATCAGCGGGTTCTAAACTCCCTGACTTGATCTGCTCAGATAAATATGACAAGCTTTCGTTACAAATGGTGTGTGAGACTGATGTTGGCAAATTCGACAGACTTTGTCTGACTTTTTCGACATTTTGTTCGACTTGTCTTCGCTTAACTGTTAGCCGTTTCTGATTGTGGTATGTTTGGAGTTTGACAAGTAACTTCCAAGATATCAAGCCCAAACTTATGGCCAGAATTATATTCCTGATTGGATGCTTTGTGAGTAAAACTGTTAATTCGTTTGACAGCTTTGTAGCAGGTCTTCTGACAAAATCCATAATCTGTAAGAAAATGAAGAATTATGAGAGTTTAAATAAAATGTTTGTGGAGAGTCTCGTTATTTTGAAAGATTTATATTCCGCTATGTTTTTATGGTTAGAGAAACGATTGTGTCCGTGAGATATGAACAAATGTTTCTCTTCTAGAAGTATATTGGTGAGAGCTGAAATTTAACCTGAGGAATTTGAAAAGAATTTTAAATAAGTGAGTTGGAAGTTCAGTGAGTCTGCTGACTCTGCAATCAACCAATACTTTCAATCAGTTGAACAAGTGATGAATCAATCATTTTTCACAGAGTTGGCTACCGTATGGCCTAGCCAGTCTCTATTGATAAGGGATCACCTACACACAGCAAATTTTGTTTATTATATATTTATTGGGAAATATTAATATTCACCCCATTCAGTTGGCATTATTTCGTAAAAGAGGTATGTTGGCAGGACAATGGAAATGAATAACACGACGGTAGAAGTAATTAAAACTAATGTTTCGGTGGCATCTGTCATTCGTATGATTAATGTGAGATAAGTATACTTTGACAACTGAGTTGTTTTGAGATAAGTGTTGAAGTTATTTCTTATAAGCCACTTTTAAATTTCAAAGGAGAGATGCGGTAAACACCATAATCAATTGGGCATAATTTCCTCTACCTATTTCGGAAATCATAACAACTACTTAGGAATAATAGACGAAAGTCAAGACCAACGGTGAGTGCTGACTTTAGCGTTTCACTTACCACCACTTTACTTTTTGCTCTATTGTGACAGAGGTAAAAATCTTAGCAGCTCGACAAGGTTAAAGAATAACAGGCATAGTAACCTTACACTTGAACAACCTATAAGAGGTGTGTGTGATCTGTAGCTACAGAGACAGCAAATAACCTCCTCCTTAGAGCATAGTATTTTCAGGGCTGTGAGGAAACGGCAAAGTTAAACTATCACAGCCGAAACCATAGAGATCTCTTACAAACAATCAGAATTCAGACGCAATAAAGTCGTATAATTGTTGAGGATTGCACTAAAAAACCTTGCAAACATGATACTGTACTACATTGTTGTCGCTTATATGTTGTAGGAATATCTCCTAATTGCTACACAGATGATCTGTCGGCAAATTATACCATGCGCAATAGATGCATTCATCCAGGTGACTGTAGGTAATTGTACTTTGAGATCTATTGATATTGCTGACACTGTTCTTAAACCCACTCCTAACTCTAACCATAATCCTAACTTTAACCCTACACTCTAAATCTTAATCTAAAAAGTCATAAACCTGCCTGACAGTATAGATTTACAGAAAATATACCTAGAGAATAAGTGAAATACTGGTATAAACGAAGGGATGATTTGAATTGGAATGGCCTTTCATAGCATTCCCTGTATCTGACTGGTTCTTGGAGGTCAACTTGTGAAAGACCTTGGCTTTGGCTATGATACTTTAACTTCGCCAATCCCAAGCTTACAATAATCCTTAACTAGTTCTAACCTGTGCACCGACATCGCCTTCTTACGATAGATGAATACTTCATCTATCGAAAGTGAACCCACTATGTACCGAAGCAGTCCCGGTCGTTCTTAAAAAAAGCACTGGG